GGTCTCCCATCCAAGTACTAACCAGGGCCGACCCTCTTTAGCTTCCGGGATCTTCCAAGACCTCTGCCCGAGGTCCTGGAAAGCGGCTGCCTTCCAGAGTGGACAATCCCTGACCTTGAGGTTCTGAGGATCTGATTCGGTAGAAGTCAGCCCTGTACGCCCATCCGTTCACCTGGGATGTTGTAAGCACTTCTCCCATTCCGTTCTCATTCCATTCTCCCACCATTCTGCACACCAGTTTTGGTATAGCGGTTAAGAGCGGCAGACTCTAATCTGGAGAGCCGGGTTTGAATCCCCACTTCTCCACATGCAGCCAGCTGGGTGGCCTTGGGTCGGTCACAAGTTCTCTCAGAGCTGTTCTCTCAAGAGTGGTCCTCGAGAGATTCCCCACTCTTCCACATGCAGCCAGCTGGGTGGCCTTGGGTCAGTCACAAGTTCTCTCAGAGCTGTTCTCTCAAGAGCGGTCCTCGAGAGATTCCCCACTCCTCCACATGCAGCCAGCTGGGTGGCCTTGGGTCAGTCACCAGTTCTCTCAGAGCTGTTCTCTCAAGAGCGGTCCTCGAAAGATTCCCCACTCCTCCACATGCAGCCAGCTGGGTGACCTTGGGTCAGTCAGAAGTTCTCTCAGGCCCGCCTGCCTCACAGGGTGTCTGTTGTGGGGCGGGGGAGGGAAAGGAGTTTGTGAGCCGCCCTGAGACTCCTTTGGGTAGCGAAGGGCGGGGTGTAAATCCAACCTCTTCTCTTCTCTCTCTCCTTACATGGCAGGGATTTAAGGGTCGCATCAGGACTGACAGAACATTCGGGCTGTGGTCTCACACAGACTAAATAAACCACTTTCAATGCACTTTCCAGGTGGATCTTGCTAGTTCACACAGTAAAAGTCCCGTCAGAAAGTGCACTGAGCGGATTATTTAGTGTGTGTGTCTGTGTGTGAAATAGGCTTACCAAGTGGCGGCGGGGGATCCGCATGCCTTCACAGGATCCCTGCCGCGGGGACGTGGAGTCCCGTTGCCACAGCGACGCGTAGCGTCACATCCTGGCAACGGTGGGGGCAACACGTGTCACTGTCCCCGCGGATCCCCCGCCGCCACTTGGTAAGCCTAGTTTGAAACCACTCTTCCTTGAGGCTCATGGAAGCTATTAAGCAGCTGTCCCACCAGGAGGCCAGGAGAAGGATTGGGGAAGGAGGCCCAGCCTAGGTCAGGCGGCAGCCATCAGGACACGCCACCAGACCAGTCACTCAGGCTGTGGTCTCCCACAGACTCCGCTTTTTTGCCTGTGGTGTGATCAGCACCTCCCCCCTAACCACGGGACCTTGACCTTGACGGATGTCTGATCACGCAGCCGCGCGTTATTTTGCTCCGGGGCAAACAGCCACGCTTCCCCCCCGCATTTTCCAGCCCGTGTGACCGGAGCCTGTGTGTGTCTGTGTGTGAAACCACAGCCATGCACTCAGTGGGGAAACCACTCCTCCTTGAGGCTCATGGAAGCTCTTAAGCAGCTGTCTCATCAGGAGGCCGGGAGAAGGACTGGGGAAAGAGGCCCAGCCTAGGGCAGGCGGCAGCCGCCAGGACACGCCACCAGGCCAGTCACTCATGCTGTGGTCTCACACAGACCAAATAATCCACTTCCAATGCGCTTTCCAAGTGGACATGCATGAATGACACGGCTCCCTGCCCCGAATGCTCGCCATTCACCTTACAGTTGATCCCGAGAGCCAGTTTGGCGTAGCACAAACTTGCTCGACTTAAGAGCCGCACAGAATAAACGTCAGATGTTTGAGAGCCGCAAGACGTGAACAAATATCACACGCACGTTCTTATTTTAAAATATGCAGATTTGCTTTTTGTTAACATTAAACGAGACTGCCGAAAATAAAAGGGATAAAAGCAGGTATTGATAATGATATCTATCTGTCCAGGTTGGTGTCGTGGTTAAGTGCGCGGACTCTAATCTGGGAGAACCAGGTTTGATTCCTCACTCCTCCACTTCCACCTGGCTGGATGACCTTGGGTAAGCCATAGTTCTGTCAGAGCTGTTCTCTCAAGGACAGTTCTGTCAAGAGCTCTCTCAGCCCCACCGACCTCACAGGGTGTCTGTTGTGGGGAGGGGAAGGGATCCTCCTCCTCCTCTTCTTCTTCTTCCTCTTCCTCCTCTTCCTCCTCCTCCTCCTCCTCCTCTCTCCCGTTCTGTCCTCACAACAAGCCCATGAAACAGGATAAGCTCCTAGGCCTCATGGAAAAGAGTGGGCCTCAAATGTTTTTATTTTTATGCTATGCTTTTTAATGTCTTTTGTATGGTGGATGGAACAGTGATTTGTAATTTTTCCCATAAATTAAGTAAAGTCCCTGTTTATGAGATTCTACATCATGAATCTGCCTTCTGCTGGTTCAGACCCTTGGTCCATCAAGGGCAGTATTGTCTACTCAGACTGGCAGCAGCTCTCCAGGGTCTCAGGCAGAGAAAGGTCTCTCACACCACCTACTACCGTGGACCTTTTAACTGGAGGTGCCGGGGATCGAACCTGGGACCCTCTTCACACAAAGCAGAGGCTCTTCCACTGAGCTGCGACCCCTCCTGAAGGGTAAATCCCTAGAAGTAGCTGAATATGGCGTCTCACTATCTAGCTTTCCTTTCAAAGTTACCCACCATCCATGAACGTTGCTAATTTGAAAGTCTTATTCTCATATCTGTTGCTTTCCGTCACAGGCATCCATCATGAGAGGAAGAATGATGGCACCCAACACAGAGTCACTGACCGTCCCCAACGTGGCAGCTATTTTAGAAGACTTTGAGATCTTGGGAGAAGGACTGGTCAGAGCAGTGGAGACCCGATCAGAGAAATGGTCCATCTAGAACCTTCCGGGACTCCGTTACATTCTGAGCCTCTCACCCGGTAGCTCAGGGTGTGCCCGGACTCATAACATTTCGCTTCAGAATTCTCTTACAAGGAAGGTATTTTTATTGCACAGGAACCTCTCGTAAACCTGTTTCTCATGTACATTCACCCCCTGACTTTCCTGATTAAAAAAAAAAGACACCGTTTTTTACTGAAGAAAAATGTATTAAAACATTGGCCTCTTGAGGCCCAAGAAATAATTTGCGAGCTTCTCCTTCGTTGAGTGGAATTCTAACGGAAGCCTGATGCCTCCAAAAGTAGTCAGATGTCCTGGACATTTATTTTGCTTGAGGTTAGCACAACTAGCACTTATTATTACGACAGCCTTCCCCCCATTAGTAGATGGCGTGTGACTGAAGCCACCCACGAAGAGAGGGGAAGAAAAACTGCAACCAACCAACCAAAAACCTCCTAAGGAAGTTTAGAACACGAGTAAAGGGCCAAAAGTTAAAAACATCAATAGGTATAGACAAAAGTACATGTGTTTAGAAGAAGAGATTGGATTTATACCCCGCCCTTCACTACCCGAAGGAGTCTCAGGGTGGCTTACAAACGCCTTTCCCTTCCCTTCCCCACAACGGACACCCCTGTGAGGGAGGTGGGGCTGAGAGAGCTCTTTCGAGGACTGCTCTTGAGAGAACAGCTCTGACAGAGCTATGGCTTGCCCAAGGTCATCCAGCAGCTGCAAGTGGAGGAGTGGGGAATCAAACTCGGTTCTCCCAGATCAGAGTTCTCCCAGATCTGCGCACCTAACCACTACACGAAGAAGGAGAAGAAGGAGAGACTGGATTTATACCCTGCCCTTCACTACCCAAAGGAGCCTCAGGGCGGCTTACAAACTCCTTTCCCTTCCCCTCCCCACAACGGACACCCCTGTGAGGGAGGTGGGGCTGAGAGAGCTCTTTCCAGAACTGTCCTTGAGAGAACAGCTCTGACAGAACTCTGGCTTGCCCCAAGGTCATCCAGCAGCTGCGAGTGGAGGAGTGGGGAATCAAACCCGGTTCTCCCAGATTAGAGTTTATTGTCTATACCTGTTGATAGAACAAATTTGGAGTCCAGTGGCACCTATAAGACCATCAAAAGTTCATTCAAGGTATGAGTTTTCATGTGCAAGGCACACTTCTTCAAATACATGCCTACTCTCAGCCCCACCTATCTCACAGGGTGTCTGCTGTGGGGAGGGGAAGGGAAAGGAGTCTGTAAGCCACTCTGAGACTCCTCTGGGTAGTGAAGGGTAGGGTATAAATCAGTTTGGTGTCGTGGTTAAGTGTGCGGACTCTAATCTGGGAGAATCGGGTTTGATCCCCCACTCCTCCACTTGCAGCTGCTGGATGACCTTGGGGAATACCATAGTTCTGATAAGAGCTGTTCTTGAAAATGGGCAGTTTCTGTCAAGAGCTCTCTCAACCCCACCTCCCTCACAGGGTGTCTGTTGTGGGGAGGGGAAGGAAAAGGAGTTTGTAAGCCGCTCTGAGACTCCGAGTGAAAGGTGGGGTATAAATCCAATCTCCTCTTCTTCTTCTACATTGGAAAAATTGGAAGATGATTGGGGGCGGGGGAGAGAATTCAAATACATTGAAAAAGTGTCCCTTGCACACGAAAGCTCATACCTTGAATACACTTTTGTTGATCTGAAAGGTGCCCGGCTGGACTCTAAATCCTGTCCTGCTGCTTCAGACCGACACGGCTGACCGTCTGGACCTATCTTCATGGAACAGACAGATTGCTGTTTTTCACTTTTGGCCCTTTACTAGTGTTCTAAACCTCTTTTGGAGGTTTGTGAGACTGGAGTTTCTGGCCACTGTGTGATACAGAGTGTTGGACTGGATGGCCCTTTGGCCTGATCCAACACTGGCTTCTCTTATGTTCTTATGAGTCCCTGGCCTTTGTGGCCTTAAGGAGCCCTTTGGACTGAGAACAAAATGGCTGCCACAGTCGGTGGAGCGAACCACAACATTTCAGGGAGCGAGGTTCAGTGTGACTCTCACAGTAGCTTCGACATTTAAAGCAGGAACCTGCGCAGCCGCTTGGAATCCTTGCAGGGCACTGTCCCTTCCCACTTCCTAAAAACACTTGGTGGGCATCAAGAAAGGTGTCGCTGGGGCCCGTTTTACCGCATTGGGGACCCCTAGTGTGAGAAAAAAGGTTTAAGAATGAAGAAGAAGAGAAGAGATTGGATTTATACCCCGCCCTTCACTACCCAAAGGTGTCTTAGGGCGGCTGACAAACTCCTTTCCCTTCCCCTCCCCTCCCCACAACAGACACTCTGTGAGGTGGGTGGGGCTGAGAGAGCTCTCCCGAGGACTGCTCTTTCCATAACAGCTCTGAGAGAACTGTGACTGACCCAAGGTCACACCAGCAGCTGCATGTGGAGGGCGGCGTGGGGAATCAAACCCGGTTCTCCCAGATTAAAGTCCACGCACTTAACCACTACACCAAACTGAAGAGATGTGAAATGCCTGAGCTGGACAAGGTTTGGCTGGTGCCACGTTGGGCAGAGAAGAAACGTTTCCTTGCAGCCGTTGCCACCACCTCCGAGGCCCCGCAAACGAGCTCTGTGGTCTGTCCGACTTGACCCGAGGGGTTTGCCAGCGACATTCTTGCAGCCCTCCTTCCCTGTAGAGACCAGTTCCGTGTCCCGGGGAGCTCTAAGACACCGGGGGAGGCCTCTGTCTCGTGCCTCAACCAGCCTGTTATTCCCGGCAGAAAAGCAAATCCATGGTTTGCTATTTTTCACACGTTTGGGACCAGACCTCTGACGAGGAGGAGGGTGCATGGAGGTTGAAGTCCAGCTCCCCCAAGACCAGCCACTTTGGGGTCTCCAGCACTAGGCTCCAGAGCAGCCATCTTTAAGGGATTTGGGGGGAGGCGTATTTTTTCACGTGCGCACGCATGCGCATGTGTGACTGTGCATGCACCTGGAAGTCACGTTGACCTCTGGTAATTGACCCCGACTGGGGGAGCCTGGAGGATATTCAGAGAGGTGGCTGAATAAAGCCTGCCCCCGCCTCCCGACTACTCGTATTCTAAGGAGGCTGTAAATATAGGAAAGGTTCCCTTGCTCGAAAGCCAGTCGAATCCGACTCTAGGGTTGCGGTGCTCATCTCCGTTTCAAAGTCGAAGAGCCACCGCTGTCCGAAGACGTTTCCGTGGTCATGTGGCCGGCATGACTAAACACCAAGGCACACGGAACGCTGTTACCTTCCCACCGAAGTGGTACCTATTTATCTACTTGCAATTTCTTGCTTTCCAACTGCTAGGTTGGCAGGAGCTGGAACTAGAGACAGGAGCTCACTCCGTCATGCAGCACCCTGGGTCTCGAACTGCTGAACTGCCGACCTTCCACAGCCTGCAGTTCAGCGTCTTAACCACTTGAGCCACCGCAGCTCTGCTTAGACCTCACCTATAGAGTATTGTGTTCAGTTTTGGGGCACCACCATTTCAGAAGGATGTAGACAAGCTGGAACGTGTCCAGAGGAGGGCAACGAAGATGGTGAGGGGTCTGGAGACCAAGTCCTGTGAGGAAAGGTTGAAGGAGCTGGATATGTTTAGCCTGGAGAGGAGACGACTGAGAGGTGATACGATAACCATCTTCAAGTGTTGGAAGGGCTGTCATCTAGAGCGTGGAGCACAGTTGGTCTCTGTTGCCCCAGAAGGTCGGATCAGAACCAACAGGTTGAAATTAAATCAAAAGAGTCTTCGGCTAAACATTAGGGAGAATTTCTTGACAGTTCGAGCGGTTCCTCAATGGAAGAGGCTTCCTCGGGAGGTTTCCAAGCGGAGGCTAGATAGCCATCGGACAGCAATGCCCATTCTGCGACTCACTATGGATTTAGGTAGATCGTGAGAGGGGCAGGAAGGGGCGAGCTACTGCTCGGCTCTCGGGGCCCCTTCTTACGTACCCAGGGTAATCCTGGTGGCCGCTTTGGGGTCAGGAAGGAGTTTTCCTCCAGGCCAGCCTGGTCCAGGGATCCTGGAGATTTTTTGCCTTCCTCTGGGCATAGAACAGGGGTCACGGTGTATGTGTGTGTGTGTGTGTGTGTGTGGTGGTGGGGGAAGTAGCCGAGGAAGACCTGCGTTGTGCAAGGGTTTGGACTAGACGACCACTGGAATCCCTTCCAGCTGTTCGTTAGACAGCTAGGTGAATGACGCATTGGCAAGGTCCATGCCCTGTCCCTAGAATCCGGCACAAGAAACATACCCAGTCAGAGTGAATCATAGAATCATAGAATGTGAGAGTTGGAAGGGACCTTGCAGGCAGTGCTCCCTCTAACCTGTGGAGTCTTGTGAGCAAAAATTCTACTTTGGGAGCTTTTTGTTTTCTGCCTTGCCTGATTTTAGCAGTTCCATCATGACTCAGCCATTGCTGGTGCCCACTGAATCTTGTTCAGCTTTTTGTTTTCTGCCTTGCCTGATTTTAGCAGTTCCATCATGACTCAGCCATTGCTGGTGCCCACTGAATCTTGTTCAGCTTTTTGTTTTCTGCCTTGCCTGATTTTAGCAGTTCCATCATGACTCAGCCATTGCTGGTGCCCACTGAATCTTGTTCAGCTTTTTGTTTTCTGCCTTGCCTGATTTTAGCAGTTCCATCATGACTCAGCCATTGCTGGTGCCCACTGAATCTTGTTCAGCTTTTTGTTTTCTGCCTTGCCTGATTTTAGCAGTTCCATCATGACTCAGCCATTGCTGGTGCCCACTGAATCTTGTTCAGCTTTTTGTTTTCTGCCTTGCCTGATTTTAGCAGTTCCATCATGACTCAGCCATTGCTGGTGCCCACTGAATCTTGTTCAGCTTTTTGTTTTCTGCCTTGCCTGATTTTAGCAGTTCCATCATGACTCAGCCATTGCTGGTGCCCACTGAATCTTGTTCAGCTTTTTGTTTTCTGCCTTGCCTGATTTTAGCAGTTCCATCATGACTCAGCCATTGCTGGTGCCCACTGAATCTTGTTCAGCTTTTTGTTTTCTGCCTTGCCTGATTAGCAGTTCCATCATGACTCAGCCATTGCTGGTGCCCACTAAATCTTGTTCAGCTTTTTGTCTTCTGCCTTGCCTGATTAGCAGTGCCAACTTCCAGGGGGGACCTGGGGATCCCCGAGAACCACAGCCCATCTGAAGACTACAGAGCTCAGTCCCCCTGGA